TTAAAGTAAATTTTTTTTCACATATATAAAACTTTATACATATATATATATATATATATATATATATATAAAAGAATAATATTAATTTCAGAATGGCTCTGTAAGATTGCTGATGATTTCGCAAAATATTAAATAATATATATTATACAATAAGAAATATTATTCATTCAATTATATTTTTAATCACATTTAAAAATATAAAAAAATTGCTTATAGATAAACAATTTAAAATAAAATATAACATTTTCATAGAATTCAATAAAATTTTATTTTTTCCATAAAAAGAATTTATTATATTATAATAAATTATAAGATTTTGATTTTGGCAATTATATTAAGTTCAGATCCATATTCGTTTTTATAAATCCTTTGGTGGACTTAATCACTAGTGTCCTTGAAAATATAATGATGTAGATTGATATTATGAAGAATGTAAGAATAGGGCATAAAATAAGATTTTAATCATTTGCTATTAAAGATAATGATAAAAACTGGATGCTAACTATATCTGTTGAGTCTTTGGATTTTTAATGAATATTTATAGCAGAATATTTTTATAATTTATACAAAATTCATTTTTTTTACATTTTTTATTTTTAACATTCATAACATTTTTTATTTTTTGGTTTATCGTATTATCTTTAGACATATCCATATTTATGTTTCATACAAAAGGCGAAACTATACATAACCTCATCTTAGTAACTTAATGAATAATAATTTTAATTTATTAATAAGATTACTACTTTTACATATTTTTTTAGGTTTATATATATATATATATATATTCTTCAGAATATATTTTATTGATATATTTCTTCTCTTAGATAATAATCTCATGAGATAATCCGAACAAATTTAACTCTCTTTATTTTAAAAATATTCATAATATAATTTTCAATAATTTTATAAGTTTTTTTAATAAGTTTTTCTTTAAATTTTTTATTAGATTTAATTCTGTATAGATCAATCTGAAAATTGAAATTATAATTAATATTATATATACTTTAGATCCGAATTTGAATTAGAATTTATTATAATATCATTAGAATAATATTTCATTCTCTATATCCAACATATTCTTTTTCATTTTTGATAGATAAGATTTTAAAATTATTTTATTTATTATATCGCACTGTTTCATAAAATCAGTGTTATGTTTAAATATTTCTTTAATATGCTACATTTAAAACTTGCATCTTTTCTGTATTATGTTATTTAATGATATATGTTATCTAATAATATGCAATTTATTTGTTTTATTAAACATTTGTCATAATTAAATCTACTTCTATAAAAAAATGAAATTATAAAAAATAAAGATAATAAAATAAATATAATAATAAATATTATTAGCAAATATAAAAATATATAAAAATGTATTAATTTTTTGCAAAATTAACATATGTATCTCATAATTTTATTGTGACTAATCATAAATGTTTATATATATATATATTTATTTTTTATTTTATATATGTGCCTTTATAATATTGCATATGATATACTGTGTTGAGCAATTTTCTAAAATAAACAATAACATTATATATATGAAAAATACGATAATGTAAATTTATATGATTTTATATAATGTCTTGTAATATTGCTATGAAAATATATTCTTATATTTTTTACAATCTTAGTCTGATTTAATTGTTTAAATCACATATTTATTTATTATTTTAAAAAATTCATTTGAATATTCAATTTATAAATCAATCATATCATCGAAATATCATAATATTTTTTATAATATCATAAATCTTTGCTCCGCTTTTACGATTTTTTATCGATATGTACGATTTCAGATTTTGAACTTTATGTTACAAAGACTACAATAGAATATGGAATATTAAATTACATTTCATTGTATCATTCGCTTTCATTGATTCTCACTCTCATCACCAATTCAGATTCAAGAAAGCAGAAGGCAAATAACAGCAGACAATTCCTGAAGTATCTTCCTTAATTATCATGATGCGAGCTTGCAAACTGCTACAACTAAGTTAAACACCAGCGAGCAATGGATATATCTCAGTAAGCAAATCAGAATATGAAATTGTCAAAATCATTGCATGATAAAGATTTGAAAATAGTTATAGAATTATTTTTATAAACGAAAATATAAAATTATTTTTTAGTAGACTGTACTTCATTTATTAAAATTAAATAAGTATTAATAATAATATCATACATTATATTATATTAAATTTATATTTGTACATGTATGAAAGTACAAACTATAGTGATCATAATAGAAAGATTATAAATATGAAAATTTATTAAAGTATTTTTATGTAAAAAAGTTTTTTTCTAAAATAAATTTTGAATCTCTTTCTCTGTTTCCCTCTCCCTCTTTCTTTCTCTCTCTCTCTCCCTCTCTCTCTCCCTTTCTTCTCTTCCTTCTCCTCTCTTCTTTTTTGTCTGTAAATATCAATAAAAATTAAAAAAAAAAAGAAATTATAATGAAAATACATACATGTACATACATAATTATATGTACATATAAATCTATCTCACATGTATATATAAAATATATATATAAATATATAATATATATATAAAATAATAAATAAATAATTTTGAATATTCTTATAAGAATAATAATATTAAATGAAATAAAAATATTTAAATAAATTATTAAATATCAATTTCAACTTGATATATTGAAAATATAAATATGTTATATAAAAAACATTGCAATAAAGTGCATTGCTATTTGACTGAAGAAAGAGCAAGTTAAAGCTTACTTTTATCAATAAACTCTTGTTAATTTATATGTTATGTTATATGTTAAGATTTTATTTTATAATATAATTTTTATGTTTTCTATTTTATGATTTTTGCATGTACTGTTAATACTAATTTATGAAAGCTTTTACATTTAATTCTTATAAATCTTTATTTTGTTGATAGGCATATGAGCGCAGATTTCCTACTTGTCCGCAAATTCCTGTTTTTGTTGGTTGTGAAATAGTGTCTGATGAAGAAAGTAAAAATGGTTCTATTAGAATAACGGAACGGCGATGTAAATTAAACGTTGAAGCTCCATATATTTTAAAAAAAGTATGTATATGTAAAAGTTGGTTAATTGATATTAAAAATTAAAAAAAAAATTTTTTTAACTATATTCTAGAATATGATTCTAGAATAATAATATAATTATATAATTATAATTTAATATATTCTAAAATATGATTCTAGAATATATTATTTTAAGATGAGTTCAATGATTTAGTATACGATAACATTCAAATTTTGTAATTCAAAAATCTATCTAGATCAAAATTTAGATTTGATCAGCAATATAATAAATTATTTCATATCATATTAAAATATGATAATGATATTATAATATTTATATTATATAATTAATATATTCTACTACAATGTTTTACATACTTTTTTTTTTATTTCAGATCATTGGTGTAGATTTTGTCTATTTTATTCAAAAAAATATTTTAGACAGACGAAATAGTATTCTAGAAATAGAAGCATATAATGAAAGTTTTTCATCCAGAGTAACGGTTATTGAAAAGTGCAGGTATTTTGTAAGTATTTAAATTAATTTATTAGTTGTGATTTTATTTATATAAAGTTTTTATAAACAAATATAATTGATATAATTAATTTAATCAATTTTTAATATTTTATAAATAAAATATATATATATATATTTTTTTTAAATAAAATTTATATTATTATATAAAATTAATGTACATTGTAAGAATGAATGTTGGAGAAGAATTAATTTGGTATGATTATAGGTTCATCCTGAGAATTCAGAATGGACATGTTTTGAACAAACTGCAAGTTTAGATATTAAAAATTTTTTTGGATTTGAAAACTCAATGGAAAAATTAGCAATGAAACAATATGCTCAAAATATTGCCAAGGTATTATATTTGATAATGTTTTTTTTTTTAATAAATATTTCCTATTCTAATGAAATGTTATATGAATGTTATATAATGAATACTGTTTAGGGTAAAGAGATAATTGAATATTTTATAAATCAATTGAAGGAGGAAGGTATTATATATGTAGCTCCATGGAAGGATCCAAATGAGATGTCTGAAAAGAATGAAGGGTAAATTTAAAATTCTAAAAAATAAGTTTATGTTTTTAAGTACTATTTTCAAAGATTTTCTATTTTTTATAAAAAAATTAATTACATAAATATCTGTATAATAATATATAATATATCAGTTTATTTATTTCTTTTTTTAGAAATATTGTAAAAAATCAAGAATCTCTTAATCAAGAAGAAACTTACTCTTATACAGACAATAAATTACAGAATAGAGGTATATTATATTTTCTATTATTTTATATAGAATATTTATAAATTTATTGAGTTAAAAATAGGAAAACTTATATTGAAGTTATTAAAACCTTCAATAAAAAAAATATAATTTTAGAAATGCAGTTATCTTCAGATTACATAGAAAGATATTTAGGAAAACTTGATATGATGCAAGAAAGCAAACTTATTCAATTACGACAAAGTATAAAAGAATTGCGAGGAAGTTCTGTACCGGGAGATGCAACACTTTTGAGATTTTTAAGAGCAACTGAATTTTCAGTTGAAAAAGCAAAGGAAATGTTAACACAGACATTACATTGGAGAAAAAAACACCAAATAGATAAACTACTTGAAGAATACGAAGTACCACAAGTTGTAAAAGATTATTTTCCTGGTGGCTGGCATTATTTTGATAAAGGTATTTTTATTGTTATTTATAATCATTAGTAAATTCTTTATCTATAATGTACAAAAGTACATATATTTCTTAATTATTATAAAATATGCACTAAAAATCAGGCATTAAATATAATAAAATAATAAATCAATGATTTATCATAAATTATTTAATATTGTATGTGTGTAATAACTTAAATATTGTATGTGAAATTTGAATTTTTATATGCAATAAATATTTTTTGATTGTTTCTTTATGCTGCATAAAAATTATAATTATATCTATTTTATAAATTTGTTAAAAATAATATTATTTTAAGAGAATTTTTTCAATTATTTATATCATATTTTTTATTATATTTATTTATTAAAGTTTTTATTATATTATTAAATCTTATTAGCAGATAATATAATAATTATATAAATATAATAAAATATTTAATAAAATATTTAATAAATTTAATAAAATAAAATAAAATAAAATAAAATTTATTAATTTATAGATGGCCAACCTTTATATATCTTAAGAATGGGGCAAATGGATGTAAAAGGATTATTGAAATCTATTGGAGAAGATGATTTATTGATGCTGGTAAATCTTATATGATAAAATTACATATTATATTATATAGTTTCTTATAATTATTCTTCATTATTATAGGTATTACATATTTGTGAAGAAGGATTAGTTCTAATGGAAGAAGCAACTGCTGTTTCTGGTCATCCAGTTTCTCAATGGTGTTTACTTATAGATCTTGAAGGTCTAAATATGCGCCATTTATGGAGACCTGGTATAAAGGTACATAAAATTTATTTAATATAACTTATAATACATTTTTTGTTTAATAAATATAAAATAATAATATATATATTATTACTTACATATTTAGATTTTATTTTTTTCATATTATTCTCATTTAATATAATATGCACATAACAAATTGAAATTGAAAGATAAACAATTTCTTTTCAAATTATTATTTTTATATTTTGTTTTAGGCTTTATTACGCATTATTGAAATCGTTGAAATAAATTATCCAGAAACAATGGGAAGAGTTTTAATTATGCGAGCACCTAGATGTTTTCCTATATTATGGACGCTGATAAGCACGTTTATAAGTAAGTAAATAAAAAAATCAAATTTTATAAAAATCATTATATAATTATATCATTATTATATATTAATTTTTTAATTTTTAAATTATTCTTTTTTATTTTTAGATTTTATAGATTTAATTTTATAGATTAATATAATTTTTTTACTTAATATTAATCCTATTAAATAATTAATAGAATAAATATATGCATCAATGTCTTTCATTTGTTTATTTTTTTGATTGTTTTATAGATAAGGAGAAAAAGAGTTGCTAATCGATCCTAGGTAGCTTTTAATGATTAGAACAATTCTAGCAAGAAGAATATCCGCGTTTGATTCAGATAATATAATCGATCGGCTTTTTTTCTCTTATAGAAATATATATATATAAGTTAACATACTCTATATCTTCTTATATTTTATAATAATTTATATGTTTACATTTACATGATGAGTTTTTGAAGCTATGTGAGTTTATAGATATTTTATTATATATAATATATTTTTATGGCGATTCAAATTTACACTTTATGAAGTTTATTTTTTTATATATGATTCGACAAATGCTCGATAGAATTCGTGTTTAAATTTTATAGAAACTATTTCAATATGTTATATTATTTTCAAAAAATTTTATTTTATTTTATTTTAATTATTCATTTTTATGCTTGGAATCATTATTTTATTGGAAGACATATCCATCGTATTTTTGTGCAATAAAAATTATTCTGTAATATTTTAATGTATATATATATAATGTAGAACCATTACTATTTTAATGATTGCTTTTAGGTCTCCTTTTAGAAGTCTTTCTTTTGCTATTTTTTCTTCAAAGATTTTCGATGTTTTATTATTCTAAATTTCGAATTTTTATTTATCACATTGCTCAATGTAATAAATTCTGAAAACTCAATTTTTAACAATATTTTATCGAATAACTTTATTAATGATTTTAATTTCAAATTTATATATTGTAAAATTTGCTTATCATATTTTTTTCAAAGTAAAATGAATATTTAACTGTAATTTTTTTCTACTTTCACAAAAAAAATTTATGCAAAAATGCAATAATCATACATACATTTATCAATAAAAATTATCAAAAAATTACTGCTATTTTTTAATTAATTGAAAATTATAACAATTTCATTCGATTTTAAAGCAATAAAAATGTTGTATGCTTATACAATATTAATATACAATATTTTTAGTAAAAAATATTTCAGATATTATATATTTATATTTTAAAATTTTTTTATTCAATTACATCATTTCTATATTATACTCTGTTAGAATGAGCTTATATATCTTTATTCGCTTATAATTAGATTGTGCTAATAATTCTTGTTTGATGAGAATATGACTATTACTCTCTTGATTTATGACTATATTATACAGATGGAAATTTTAATAAATAACAAATAAAATTATTTTAATTATTATTCGTTATCAAAGAACAATTAAATATAGTTTTGAATAAAAGTTACATTGTAACTTTAATTTAACTTTATTCAAAGATTTCAATTAATTTATGTAACACATACCGTGTATGATTGTATATAACAATGAATATGTTTTATTTAATTATGATTTTGATTTATGATTTCATCTGCTTTTTTATTCCAAGAATGTACTAATAATGTCAAAGAAAGAATCCATTACCTAGCAGAAATGAATAATCACAACTCTTAGCTATTTTAAATAATTATTTTTTCATAATAATACCAAAAGAAATCAAATCAAAAGTTGTAGAATTTTCCTCAATATTTTGTCAAAAAAAGATTAAAAATTAAAGGAAATATATTATCATCAAATTCTTCTTATTTGAAGAAAATTTATTCAAGATAAATATTACACGATTAATAAAAAATAAGAATTTTTTCATATAGTATAGAAAATATCAAATCAAAAATTGTAAAATTCTTTACAATGTACTTCTCAAAAAGAACGAAAATTAAAGAACAATAATTATTGTAATCATTTTTAAAGAATTTCAAAAGAAGCCATTCGAAAAGAAAAATAACAACAAAGAATCAAAAAATACAATCAATGAAAAAATCATAATTCCCCAACGGTATTCCCCCAAAAATAATTTGAAATTTAAATATCAAAATACATAGTTGATTCAATAATTTATTATCATTTATGAAAAATATATTTCTGAACAATATCTCATAAAGATTAGTATTATTTTCAAAGTCAGTATTATTTAACGAATAATTTTTGCAGAAATTGATAATTAACCTTAAAATACTATTAGATAAAAACGAACAATACATATTTATTAGGTAATATTTTCTAATATAAAGAAGAATTAAAAAACGCAGAATATACATACATGATATTGATATTTGGTCAAAAAGGTGCAGAAATTGTTTCAATATAACTACGCATTTTATTTCTGCAAATTTGAAAGGAAATTGCTCTCGTTTGTTGTTTTGTAGGGATACATTCCTTCGATAAGATTGCAAGCTTCTTAGAAAGCATCCACATGGATGAATTAAACGATACAAAAACTAAATTGTTTAATTTTATTAAAATAATCATTTGATTTTTTAGAAGTATTTTGGCACTAAAATTAAAAATTTAGAAAGTGAAATTTCAATCAATTTAATCTTATGGCTTATATTGCAGAAAATTGTCAATAATGAAAAGAATTCTTCCATATTATTTAAAATGTTTGAAGTACGATATATATAAAAGCAATTCTTTCAAAGTATTCAAAATGTTTAGATACATCCATCAAAATAAAGAAAAAAACAAGAAAAACAATATTAGGTAAATAAAAGAAAAAAAAAAAGATCAAATTGAAGGAGAAAAACAAAATACAAAATATTTATAGATTATATTCTTTTTTAGTATCTTTATTGTTCAATCTCTATATTCAATTTATATATAATTTTAAAAATGATAAAATAATGAAATACGCTGAAACATATTTGCAATTTTTTAATCTTTGTTAAAAAGAAATGAAATGTTGAATGACATAGCCGGCAAACAATGTATATGTATCGATATATAGAAAATTAATGTATTTGATACATATAAGAACTCATTATTTTAGTTTTCTAATCTCTATTAAGAAGTATAATTTTATAATTTTGAATGACACAGCGGGCAAACAGTGTATATCGGTATAGAAAAAATTAATACATTTGAAAACTGATTATTTTAAACCACTTTTCCAATTTATGTTAAGAAATGTGGAAAATTAATAAACATTTCGTGATATTAAATCATATTTGTATAAAGGAATTGATATGAATTATGTTTGAATTTCTAATGATACAAATATAAATTTATAATTACTTTATAATATATAATACAATATTTGATCGTATTTTAAAATATTAATTCTTAGCTCAGTATATACTGTCATATAAATTCTATAAATAAAAGTATTTATAGAAAAGCAGAAAAAATTAAAAGATCTATTTTTAGTTTTAGTTTTATCAATAAAAAATAAATTTTGACATACTAAATTTTATATACTTATTTTAATTTATATATTGTTCAATTAGCTAAATTTTGTTCAACTAGCTAGCTTTTGTCCTTGTCTATGATTTAAACTTCGAACTATATATTTTCTTTTTCAGTTACTCATTAAAAATAACTATATAATATTTGAATATTTAATATTCCCAATGATTGAATATTCAATAATAAAAAAATCTTATACTAATAAAAATCTCTATAAACAAATCTTTATATAATAAAAAAAATCTTTTTGTTGTCTTTATTTTTTTATTTGTCGAAATAAAAAGTATTAATTTAAAAATTTATTATAAAAATTACAAATAAATAAATAAAATAATTTCTTGATCTTCGAAATATATTTTTATTTTCAAAATTAGTCAATCTTTAAAGGAATACAAATCTTTATAAGTTTATTTATTATAAATTAAATCTATTTTTATTGTTTTTAGCAAATGACTGCCAATACTTTTCGATTTTTCTTTTGATTATTATTAAATTTATTATTAAATTTATTAATTTAATTATTTTTTATTATTAAATTTATCTCCAAAATCAATATATTTAAAATTTCAATGAACGTTATTTTTATTATCTTAACGAATTTTTACGAGGTATAATTCAAGGAATTATTTTTGATACAATTATAAAAATAATTTCTATTACATTCAATGTCACCATTTTCATATTCATTTCATTCAAAATAATTTTCTATAATTATCAAATAATATTTTTCTCAAAATATTTAATAAAATAATAATAAAATTATAATTGCTGATTTATAACTGTTTTTTATTTAAAAAAAAGTAAATAAAAATAATTTTGTATAAAATTTATTTAATAGATAATTTAATCGGCATGCCGATTTTCTTATTGAATTATTATTCAAAATTCATGACTTTATGATAATATAAAATATAAATTACAAATCAACTATCAAATTTATCTTGAATTATAATAAATTGATTAATAATGATTTTAAATATATCTATATTTTTAATTATAATTTGTATAAAAGGTATATTACACATTTTACATACCTATGTTTACTATTCAACGTCCGAAACAAGAAGAAAGAAAGAAGAAAGGTTTCAATCCTTAATATATCGGGAATATAAGAAAAAAACATATATAGTACTATTTTCTAATCATAGATGTCACGATTATACTCTTAATGTTTATTTATAATACTTATTTACAAATAATTCGATATTAAAATTAATTAATTTTCTTATAAATATTAATTAAATAATAATAAAATTATAAATATTAATTCAATAATAAAAATTAAAAAAAACATTACATTTCAATAAATTTTTAAAACAATTTTAGCGAAATTATACAAAATTATAGATAATATATAATAAATTTCTTTAAAATTTTAATTTTTTATGCTTATAATTAAAAATAATATTTGATTTACAATATTTGTTTTTAATTTATTTATTTTTAAGAAATAAATGTACATATTTATATATTGTATTGTATATGTTTAAAATATTCTAAGCTATAATTTTGTATAATAAACAAGAAAAAAAAAACATAAAAAAAAAAACTAAAGCTGATTTTGACAAAGCAATATTGATAAAAATATAGAATTGCTTTAGAAAAATAAATTTTTTAATTAATTACTAAATTATTTACATTTTATTATTTCTTAACAGATCAATTCGAACATTTTTAATAATATTGCAATAATGAAAATAATATCTTATTATATGTATTAATTTTTATATATAAAAACATTTTAATATTTTTAATTTCACACACAGATGAAAATACAAGAAAAAAGTTTATATTTTACTGTGGCACCAATTATCAAGAACAAGGTCCAGGCAATTTAAGTGATTATATTGATCCTGAATTTATGCCAGATTTTCTTGGAGGATCGTCTGAGGTAAGAATGAATTATTATATATATTATTATATAATTTACTGATTTTTAATTTAGATATAAAATGTAATGTTAATATTAATAAAACGTATCTTCCTCTCAGATGTGAACGTGTATGTTTTCATTTATATGCGATAAAAAAAGTAATATAAGAATTAGTACTTCCAGTGATTAACATTTTTTAGTATTAAATTTTATACTTAATGTATTTTAATATGGTAGGACAATGTGTGCGAGATATATGGTATGGTACCTCGAAGATATTATATATTCAACGCAACTGCTAATAACGTAAGGATTTTTATATCTTTGATTTATTTGTTGAAAATTGTAGTTATATTTTGTGTTGTTTTATGTTTCATTATTATCTTTTGTTATGAAATATTTGCACCTATTGAAAGTATACTTTAATTTAATAATTAATTGATTTAATAATTAAAAAAAAAAAGAGAAAATATACATGTAAGATGTTATCTAATTGATGCACGAAAATACTAAATTCTACTTCTGAAAATATTAAATTCTAGGTATCATGTTAATTTAAAATGTAATTAAATATAAATTAAATATATGAATTTATTTTTTTCATGAATTTCATATAAATCTTATATAAAAAATAAAATATTAGAAATTATAACTAAATTTTTGACTAAATAAAAAATAATTAATTGATAAAAAAAAGAATAACAAATTAATTATTAAAATATAAGGTGAGAATTGATAATTAATGTAATTAAGTGTTAATATTATAATAATAAATAATATACTATGCTATAATATGATATACTAAATAGATATATATAGAACAGCTAAACATTTAATCGGCATTTTTATTAAGATAGATTATAACTTTTTCTTTATATTTTTCAAAATTATTATTATTTTGAATTTAATAATATCTGTTTCACGTAATAACATTTATCTCGGATGACATTTTCATCTTTTGGAATAAAAAAAGTTGCATCATCTTTTGCAATATTTTATCAAGAATTATATAAATCGTTATCAAAAAATATAAATATAATAAAACAGAACAAAGATGAATATATAAAATATTTTTTCACATATATGTATTTCTAAAAATTTATGAAATAAATGTTCATTTTGTAGGGAAAAATTGACATCACATAGAATTTTATACAATAAAAATTGAATAATTGACAATCTACGTAAATAAATTATTAAGGGATTCTCCTTGATATCACAAAATGAATGATATATTTATTATTGGATAAAATATAAAAAGAATTCTAGTCTATATTAAATTTCAATATCACTATTCTATAAATATTCTATAAATAGATGTATTTAATTTAGATGTCGATTTTTCAGCAATTATTCAATTTTTATTGCGTATCAATTTAAACATGCGAGAATTAATAATAATATATTTATAGTTCATACATATTCATAATTATATTCATAAATATATTCATAATATACATATTCATAAATTATATATTTACATATATATTAATACAAAAATGTCACATCATGTTATCATATTTCCAATTTGTTTCCTTATGTTATTCCTTTCTATATGAAATCATTATGGACTTAAAAGACGGTGCCTAGTTCATGGGCATTCCCGTTGAAATTGAAGACGAAGGAGAAAAATTATTAATTATTATATTTAAAAAGATTAAATTAAAAAAAAAATTGAAATACTTGGTATTCGCTTCACTGAATTCAATGGGGATTCTCTTTTAGTGATGGAGATGATATCTATGCATACATATTTGTGTGAAAAGTTCGAAATATGTAACAAATAAATATTGTATGCATTATTTATTATGTTATCCTTTATAATATTTATAAAAGATTATAAGATATATTATAAGATAAATAGAACTATATTTAATATATATTTCTATTTATATTAGACTTACATCACCGAAGGAGGAATTGTTCCGAAACATCTATATAAAATGGAATTAGAACCTACATCTACTCAAGAAGAACATAATCTGTATCATTCGATTAGTTTAAGTCGTGGACAAATTCATCGTATAATAATTCGTTCAAATGATCCAGGATCAGTTTTAACATGGGATTTTGATGTAATGCGCCATAATATCATATTTACCGTACTTTATCAAGGTCATGATACAATTAATTCTTCTTTAGGTATGTATATATCAATAAAATGTAAAATAATTTTAAGTTTAAAAAATTATTAATTGTCATTTTTAGATTCTATGACATTAAAATGAAAAAAATATGTAAAAAATTGTTGTCGTGTCTAAACTAAAATTTAATTTTATCAATTATTTGTAATAATTGTGTAATGATTAATATAATTTTTTCAGAAACTGTTATAGATGAAGATGCAGAACTATTAGAAACAAAAGAAATCAAAGGTCATTTTATTAAAGTTGAACCTAGTATTATTTGTCATGATGGTGAAAGTATTCAAGTAAGTATAAAAAAAAAATTTAAATAAGAAATATAATTAAAATAATAATTTATATAAAATTTCTTATTATTGATTCCTTATTGTACATAATGTAAATATACAATATGTTGTTTAAAATATTTTTTATTTATTATAATCATATATATCATATAATTTTATTATAATCATATATATAATAGAATTGAATGATATTCGAACTCCAAAATGAAAAATAAGTTATTTCCGAAATTATTTTTTTCCTCTTATCAAATTTGTAATAAAAGTAATGATATATTATAGAAATAAAATAAAATGTATGTACATATTCAATTACAAATGTTAAAAAATTTAAAGAATAATTTTTCAAACCACAATAAGAAACCAAAAATAAAAAATTTTTAATTTTGCTAATAAATTTTTTTTTTAAATAATTTTAAAGATTCTATAAAAAATTTACTTAAATATAATTACATTATAATAATTATGTAATACTTATTTATTTTTATAAGGGTTCTCACATAATGCAAGAAGCAGGTATATATATATTACAATGGCATAATCAAGATGATCCAGGAGAATTTCTTCCATCCATTAGTAGCCATAAAGCACAACTTATGTATTTCTATGAAACATTATCTTCAACTCATTATAGGTATTTAATTCTTAATTTTTATGTAATTATTATATCATAAATATAATTATATAATTTAACATTTAGGGGTTCCATGATGAGTTTGCAATCTGCTATAAGTACTAAATCAGAAGCAACTTCATTCTTGTCCAGATGACGTGTAAAAGATATTTCATAGAGAATTTATCAATGTTTAAAATTCTAAAATATTGAGAATAGTGATTTAATTTTAATAAATTTATTAATTTGTTTTTGAATTTCTTCCATTATAATAATGTTTTAATTTTTGAATTTCTAGTTTATAATACTATTTTAAACATGTTTCTATTAAATTGTAATCATTAATTAGAATGCATGAAATTTTAATTCTAAAAATATATATAACAATTTGAAGTATAATTTAAATTTTAAATTAGAAATTAATGTAGTATAATTGTTAATATCCCTTTATATTTATTTCAATATATTATAATATATTTTAATATATTATATCAATATTTTAT